GAATCTGATACGGGCGTCTCCCGGATCTCCCGGCGGCCTTTCTTGCCTACCCTTGGGCGGGGAAAGATTACATAATGCATCATGTGACATACGGCTAATGACTAAGCAGTCTCGTGTACTGAAAGAGACTACGTCAGGTGACCATCACGTGGCCCACACTCGGCTACTTCTGATATATCCGCCCCAGACCCCTTCTATAATTATTAATATTTAGTATAATTATAAATATATACTATACTATATTTATTCTAGTTTAATTATTATTTATTTTATAATTTAAATATTTTTTAAAATTAGCTAAGTTCGTAATATTTTAATCTTTAATAACTTTAACTTTAAATATATCTAAATAATATCCTAAAACTATTATTAATATAATATTTTTAGTAATGAAAGTTTTTTAAGAAGCTACTATTTAAGCTTTATTAAACTATATTAAAGGTCTTAAATAGTAAATTAATTAATAGCCTCTAGTAGGCCCTCCCCTGTGATAGATTTTATAAGTAGAACTAGTTAAGAAACTAGCTAGGATTAAGTTAAAGGAACCTAATATCTATAATTAATCTACTAATATATAATTCTAGCTTATAGATATTAATAACTAATTAAAAGAATAATTTATTTTAAATAATATATTTTAAATTATATATATAATAAGTTACCTCTTTTTAATACTATATTAAAATATCTAATAATTATAATTGAAAAAAATATTTATATTATATTATAGCTGGTTCTTAAAGTTTAATTATAGGATAATTATATAGTATTTAACATTATATTTAATATAGAGCTAAAACTTAAGAAATTTAAAATATATCTAGAGAATTTAATATTATCTTTTATTACTAGATTTAAAACTCTTATTATTAATCTTCTCTAGAATAATTTAGTTATCTACTCTATATTTTATTTAAAATTATCTTTTTATATATTAAATTAAATTATCTATATCTACTTTAATGGCTAGCCTAAAACTTTTACTATATAGAAAATTATTACTCTTAAGGCTAAATAATATCTCTAACTAATAGAGTAACTAAATCTACTAATATAATTAATTTTATTTAGATAAAAAGTAAAATTTATTATATTATTTATCTATTTAAATATATAATTTCTAAAAATCTATTATAACTTAAATATCCTGGAGAATAAATATTAGTAATACTATTATAAGAACTTATATATTTAGTATAATAATTCTAAATATCAAATTATAAATTATACTTAATATTCTATTATTTAAAAAAATAACTAATTCTACTTTTTAATTTTAAATTATATCTATATTAGAATCTTTATTTTTTTACTTTTTAATATAAAGTTATTATATTTTCTTTATTTTTATATTTATATATTATTATTTCTATATTTTATTTTTTAAAATTTCTAAAAATAAAAAATCAATAATTATCTATATTGGAGTTATAAAATATAATAGAAGAAAATTTTTTACTATTTTTATATATTATTACTTTTATAAGTTATTTATTAAAGCTATACTATATAACTTACTTATTATTTCTAATTAATACTTTTTCTACTATTTTTTACTTACTATAATTAATTCTAGTTTTATATATAATTTTATTAATCTAATAATTATTATTTTTTTAAATATAGAGTATATTTTATATAAAATCTCTTTAGCTGTAAATATTTTAAATTCTACTATTTATACGCTTTAAATATATATATCATACCTCCTAATTATAAAATATAATAATGAATTTTACTACTATTATTTCTACTTTATATATATAATTTTTTCTATAATCCTTAATATACTCTAATTAAAGATAGAAAACTCTTCTATTACTAACTGGTTAGCTCTTATTCTCTACTCTCCTTATATTTTAAATATCTAACTATTACTCTTAGATTTATTCTCCTCTAAAAACTCTACTCCCTTCTATATTTTTAGAGAAGATTTAGCTATAAATACCTCTATATCTACTATTATCTAGCTTTATTATAATACTCTAGATAGGCCTCCTCCAAGAGTGGTTCCCCTATAATTATATAGCTATAAGAATATCTTTAATAAAGTAAAGGCTTATAAATTTCTTCTACTATATAGACTACTAGTAGATATAGAAATATATTTAAGAAAAAATATTTTTATTCCTAACTCTTTATTATATAATATATTAAAGGATAAGTTAGCTACTCTCTATAATTATTTATAGTAAAAATAAGCTTAAAACTTTTTTAATTTATCTGAGATTTATATTATCTCCTTAGTTATATTTATTATAAAGAAAAATAATATATAGTATTTCTATATTAATTATGGAAAAATTAATATAGTAACTCTTAAGAATTATTATATAATTCTATTTATCTTTTAATTAATTAACTACTTTTAAAGTATTTACTAATTGATAAAACTTAATTTAGTATATATATATTATTTATTATATATTATAGTAGAATATAAATATAAAATAATTTTTAAAATATAATATAATAATTTTAAATTTCTTATGATATTATTTAATTTTATAAATATATTTTTCTACTTTTAATGATATATTGATATTATTTTAAATAATTTTATTAATTTTTTATTATTATATATTTTAATAATATTATTATTTATATAAAATAATTAAACTTAATTTACTACTAAAAATATATTATATATATATTAGATAAATTATACTATATTTATTTTATTTATAATTTATAGAAGTATTATTTTTATATTTTTTAAATTAACTTTATTAGATATATTCTAAATTACTAAAATATTAGAATGAATTCCAAATATATAAAAATTATTTATATTTAACTTATTTTAAAAATTATTAAAATATATATAAATATTTAAGATTTTATAACTTTTATTATAAGTCTATTTACCAATATAGTAAAATAATTTTACTACTAATAAATATATTTAAGTAGGCTTGATCCCCTACCCCTATAGGGATGGGGGGAGGCCTTCTCCCCCCCAACCTAT